TAAACGCTGGGTAACTAAGTACAGAAGGGATAACCGCTGACAGCATCTAAGTGGGAAGCCTACCTCAAGATGAGTACTCTCACCGTTATAAACGGGTAAGGTCACGGCAAGACTAGCCGTTAAATAGGCATTAAGTGTAAGTGTAGTAATACATTAAGCTGAAATGTACTAATAGACCGAGGGTTTGAATCATTTATTCATTTTTACTTATGATTTTAACAAGAAACAAAGAAACAATATAGAATTTATAGCATAAAATTATACCTTGGTGCTCATAGCGTAGTGGAACCACTCTGATTCCATTCCGAACTCGGCTGTGAAACGCTACAGCGGCAACGATACTAAAGGGGAAGCCCTTTGGGAAAATAGCTCAGCACCAAGGTTTTATTCTTTATAAAAAAAAATCTTTTTGAAACTAATATATCGTAAAATATTTTCATTTTCTTTTAAATATTTTTCAAATACTTCTATGACCTATAGCGTTTGCAATGAAGCTAGTTTCAATACAATTCTCTTCATTGTAATTATTAATAGTATATGACAATTTAATTTTTCCTTTACTTTTACTTACAACATTTTGAGCTTTATTATTTATTAATAATTGCTGTAAATACTGCACTAAATTTAAGAATTGAATTTCATTTAAATCGGGTTTAATTAAATAAACAGTTTCATAATCAATAAATTTTTTTCTCTGTTGCTGTTTTATATTCATATATTAATGGATGTAATGATTATTAATTATATAAGATGTTTGTAATATTATTTCGTATCTTTTTCATCTTTATCTTTTAATTTTTTTTGATATTCCATAGCTCTTCTTTCTTCTTCCCATTGTCTTAAAATTCCACGAGCTTGGTCTGTAATATATTTTCTAGCTGCTGTAGAAATAAAAGCAATTTTAGTATATTTGCCCCTAATTGCAGCTAAAAAACAACGTCCTAATAAAGACATCATAAAAAAATATATAAGTAACCCAATATTTCTTCCTACAAATCCCTGTAAAAATTGCTCAGGTAATCTCAAATAAAATTGCATTATTAAAGTATGTAGTAATCCAATTAATAAAGCATTCATAATATGAAAACGAAAAATATTAAGTAATAAAACCTTTTTTCTCACTACAAAAAATATATTTAGAAATGTTAAAAAGCCCATGGTAAAATATGGAAATTCAGTATAAATCTTAAGCAAATTAAACATAAAGAATGCATATAAATTTTTATTAAGCATACTAAAACATAAAATTTCCATAAATGATGCATTAATTTCTAAAAATAATAGAAAATAAATATATAAAATCATAACACGAATTCTAATAGGCACAATAAAAATAATTTTCTTGCCCTTTTTAGAAAAACGTTTACGTATATTTTGTAGTGTATAACTTATAGTTGAGCTAACAATGGCTACCATAGAAAAAGATATCAAAGTGTAAGAAGCCGGCATTAATGGCTCCATTATTACCTCAGGATCTCTCAAGAAAGGATGATTTAGTTTAGACTGCTCTTTTAGAACAGCTTCCATCATATCTTGTGTTAAATTAATAAACTGACGACCTTTAGTGCTTGTAGTACCTTCAGATTGTTCTATATCTTCTTGGTGAAGTTTATGATCTCTAGGCCAAAATATTCTACTACGACCTACGTGCACTGTTTTTTTCTTTTTAGTATTATTGTTATCCATATGATTATCCATATGATTAATTTAATATAAATTTATTTATTATTATTTATATAATACTAAGTATATATTATATATGAAGAAACATAATTAAATTATAATATAATATTATTTAAACTTTGTCAAGATAAATAACTCTTTTAATACAGATATTAGCTATTAAAGATATCGTTTTAATTTTATTATTTGTTTCAAGAGAAAATTCAATTTTTTTAAGATCAAGTTCAACATATTTTGATACTACATTTAAATTCTCCATGCGCATTTTTTCTAACATATTAGAATTTATTGCTAAACTCTCATAAGCTAAAATAAATTTAAGTCGTTTTTTTAGATTATAAGGACTTTCTTCATAATCTTTTTTTTTTATTTTATAAATATTATATTATTATATATAAATAATAATTAGTATAATCATTTGCTATTTAATACAACAGTAAAATTTAAGTATTAAAATTACTTAAAAAATTTTTTTTTTAGAACTCAAGATGTATAGGATAACAATAATCTGAATTCTTAACCTCAATCTTTTGTCCGTTTAATCGTCTTGCAATATCTATCTTCAAAGGCTAAAGATGATAACGAAAAATGTTCTTCTAAAACAATGGGTTCACCTTTGTTAGTAGAAATAATAAATTTTCATCTTATGGAATCACACCAATTAATGGAATTGCCAGTAATTTAATTACATCTTGTAATAATATCATTTCATTTTGCCTAATCATTTTATAACGAATACGATTAATAATTAAACTAATATTATTAAATATTATGAGATTCAAGTAATCCAATGACTCTATCATCGTCTATGAATGAGGTGATTTCAGGTGTAGTAAGAACCAAAACTTCTTGAGCTAAACTAATAGCACGATAAAAGCCTTTTTCTATTCCAGCTGAAGAATCTATTAATATATAATCTGCTTGCTGATCAAGAAGACTAATAAGAAAACGCATATTGTCTCCAGTGATATCATTTTTAGTATGATTTTATGAGGTAGATAATAAACTTAATCTATTATAATGTTTATCTTTAGTTAAAGCTTGCTCTAAACTGCATTTTCCTGAAAATACTTCTAAAGCTGTATAAATAACTCTATTTTCTAATCCTAATAATAAATCTCAATTTCGTAGAGCTATATCAGCGTCAATTAAAATAGTCTCATAACCTAATTTGGCAAGGCACATTCCTCAATTAGCAGTGGTTGTTATTTTTCCCACTCTATCTTTTCACTAAGTAATAACAATACACTCTAGCCATAAAATTTAATAATATTTTTTGTTATATAACATAATTAATATAATATATATAATATAAAATTTATGGTATCTCTCAACGATAAGCATATAATTAGTTCACAAATAAATAATGATCATTTAATTATTAATAATTATTCTTTTAAGTCTCGATTATTAGTAGGCACTGGCAAATATAGAAACATAGAAGAAGCAATACAAAGCATAATATATAGTGATTGTAATATAATTACGATAGCAATTAGAAGAGCGCAAAATAACCATATTTCAGGACTTAATATTCTTTTAAAGCGTTTAAATTGGAAAAATTTATGGTTGCTACCAAATACAGCAGGCTGTAAAACATCAGATGAAGCTATTAGAATAGCTAATCTTGGAAGAGAAATAGCTAAAACCATCGGTCAAGAAAATAATAATTTTGTTAAGCTTGAGGTCATTCCTGATTCAAAATATCTTTTACCTGATCCTATAGGAACATTAAAAGCGGCAGAAGTATTAGTAAATAAAGGATTTACAGTATTACCTTATATTAATGCGGATCCAATTCTAGCAAAGCAACTAGAATCAATTGGATGTGCTACTATAATGCCATTAGGATCTCCTATAGGCTCTGCACAAGGTTTACAAAATATTTCCAACATTCAAATTATTATAGAAAACGCTAAAATACCTGTAATAATAGATGCAGGGATAGGAGCCCCAAGTGAAGCTTCTAAAGCCATGGAACTAGGAGCAGCAGGAATATTAACAAATACAGCTATAGCAAAAGCAAAAAACCCTCCTCAAATGGCATTAGCAATGAATTTAGCGATTAAGAGTGGAAGAATCGCTTATTTATCAGGTTTAATAAGATCAACACAATATGGTGTAAATAGTTCTCCCTATGAAGGGATCTTTACTAATAATAATTGATAATAATATAAGTATAATAAAGATTCATGACAATATTAATAATAGATAATTATGATAGCTTCACTTATAATTTAGTACAATACATAGGTGAACAAGGCTTTGATATAAAAATAAAAAAAAATGATGAAATCATTATTTCAGAGTTATATAATCTTGATATAAGAGGTATAGTTATTTCACCAGGTCCAGGCAGGCCAGAAGATTCGGAACAATGTATTAAACTAATTCAATATTTTGCTCCGACATTACCTATTCTAGGAATTTGTCTTGGGCATCAGAGTATTGCTTACGCTTATGGTGCCCAAATTATCTCTGCTCCATTATTAAAACATGGTAAAACATCACCTGTATATCATAACGATAGTAATCTTTTTGCTAATATAGAAAATCCACTAATTGCAACTCGTTATCATAGTCTAATCGTAGATAATAAAAATTTACCTAATTCTTTATGTGTAAATGCTTGGAGCGATGACCATATTATTATGGGAATAAATCATTCTATATATAAGAATGTTTATGGTATTCAATTTCATCCTGAAAGTATTTTAACTGTTAGTGGTAAAAAAATTATTGAAGAATTTTCTACATTTTTTTTGTGATTTTTAATAAATATTGTTTAAAACTAATTTTAGCTCTATTGGTTTGTCCTGTTAAGTAAATACTGTTTTTATCATTTATTAATAACCAAATTTGGTTAAATGAAAAATAGCTAACAACCGTACTAATCATTAATAGAAAAAAACCTAAATATACTATAGCTAAACCAGGATCGGATTTAATCTGTATACCCGTACTAGGAATAATTTTTTTTACTTTTAAACTAACATTGTCGTTAATATCATCTAAACTAATTCTTTTATCTTCATTAATTTTTAATGTATTTATTAAATACTTATTTTCATCATAAAGATAAATAATATCATTCAATTTTTCAACTACTATATAAAAGTTTTTATGATCTAATTGAATTTGACTAATCCAAATTTTATTATTCTTTCTTACTACTTCAATCAAAGGTAATTCTAAATGCATATTATTGATATCTAATCTAATTGCTTGTAAATTCCAATCAGTTTGATAGAAGGTAATATTTTTATATCTTAGTGGATTATTTACAGATATTCTTTTATCATATAATTTATTCCCTAAATTATCATACAGCAATATATCTGAAAAAAATTGTGATATACTGCCATCATTATTATAGTCTATCCAAAATTTATTAATCTTTAGGAAAAAATTTTGCGGAATTTTACTTAAAGGCCCGGCATTTATGATATTTTGAAGATGAAAATTCTCTGTTTCCACAATCATTTCTTGAACTGTAAAACCCATTAAAAAACCTAAAATAGCTCCGATTAAAATTAATATGATACTAATGTGTACAAAAATCGGAGCTATTTTACTAAACAATCCATTATAAAAATATAATTGATTTTTATGTTGAAGAATAACATACCGTTTTTGTAAAAAATGATATATATATTTTGATAAGATATTATTTTTAATCTCGATAATTAAAGGAAAATTCTTTAATGTATTAAGATTAGAATAAAACTTAATTATCTTAGCCAAATTTAATAATGGCAATTGATTTAAAAATGTACAACTTAAAAGGCTAATCCCCAATGAAATTAATAATAAAATATACCACCAACTAGTATAGATTTTGTGCAAACCTAAAACTAGAATTGTCTTCCAAGAAAATAAAGGAATATAATATTCTGGATAATTTATTTTATAATATTCTATTGACTGATTTTGTTCTATAATTGTTCCTAAAAAACTTGTAAATGCTATTGTAAATAATAATATAACAGCAAAATTTAAATTACTACTAAATTTTAATATTGACCAAATAATATAATTTTTTTTTCTATTAAACATAGTTTATAATATTTAATTATATATGATATATTTTATGTATACTAAAAACTAAGATATTCTTATATATTACCTTATATAATAGTTAACAATAAATAAAGATTAACTCCTCAGGTAGGATTTGAACCTACGACCAATCGGTTAACAGCCGACCGCTCTACCGCTGAGCTACTGAGGATATATACTATATATATATACTATATTGAGTATAATATAAACTATTTCTGCAGATGTGGCGAAATTGGTAGACGCGTTAGATTTAGGATCTAATGATTTTAATTCATGAGAGTTCGAGTCTCTCCATCTGTATTATTATCTATATTATTCATATTTAATTCTACCTAGTGTACTATAATTGAATAGTCTTATTATAGGTATATGTATATGATTATATATTTACAAAATTACTAATTTAACTTATAATAATGATTAACAAGCTAAATAAAGCTTGGGAAGAAGAAGAATAATTTAAAAAGAAACGTATATGACAGCTACATTAGAAAGACGTCAAACAGCAAGCTTATGGGAACGTTTTTGTTCTTGGATTACTAGCACAGAAAATCGTCTCTACATAGGTTGGTTTGGAGTATTAATGATCCCTACATTACTAACAGCTACATCTGTATTTATAATTGGATTTATAGCTGCTCCACCAGTTGATATAGACGGTATTAGAGAACCAGTTTCAGGATCATTGTTATATGGAAATAATATTATAACTGGTGCTATTGTACCTACATCTAATGCAATAGGAATACATTTCTATCCTATTTGGGAAGCAGCATCTTTAGATGAATGGCTATATAATGGCGGTCCTTATGAATTAATAGTTTTGCACTTCTTTATTGGAATTTGTGCATATATGGGACGTGAATGGGAATTAAGCTATCGTCTTGGAATGCGTCCTTGGATAGCCGTAGCTTTCTCAGCTCCTGTTGCTGCAGCCACAGCTGTATTTATTATCTATCCTATTGGACAAGGTAGTTTTTCAGATGGTATGCCATTAGGTATTTCTGGTACTTTTAATTTTATGTTAGTTTTCCAAGCTGAACATAATATTTTAATGCATCCGTTTCATATGATGGGTGTTGCTGGTGTATTTGGAGGTTCATTATTTAGTGCAATGCACGGCTCTCTTGTAACTTCAAGTTTGATACGTGAAACAACAGAGAATGAGTCTGCAAACAATGGTTATAAATTTGGCCAAGAATATGAAACTTATAACATCGTTGCTGCTCATGGTTATTTTGGAAGATTAATTTTCCAATATGCAAGCTTTAATAATTCACGCTCATTACATTTCTTCTTAGCTTTATGGCCAGTAGTATGTATTTGGCTCACATCTTTAGGTATCAGCACAATGGCATTTAACTTAAATGGATTTAATTTTAATCAATCTGTTGTTGATTCTCAAGGAAGAGTAATTAATACTTGGGCTGATATTTTAAATCGTGCAAATTTAGGAATAGAAGTAATGCATGAACGTAATGCACATAACTTTCCTCTAGATTTAGCAAGTGAAGTATCTTTACCAGTTGCTTTAGATAAAGTAGAAATAAATGGTTAAAAAAAAAACTAAACTCTTAAGAGTTTAGTTTTTTTTTTTTTTAATATTCTTTTATAATTTGTAAATTATAAACATTAATTGTTATAATTTTTGTATAGATTTTATTATGAGGAAAGTTTAATCATGAAAGATATTATAAATAAAACTTTAGAAAGTTACGATTTTAAGGGAAAATATTTAGATATAGAAGCTATTAATAAATTAGAAATTTATTTTAAATCAGCTAATTTACGTATTGATCTTATAAAATTTATTAATGAACAATCAGTTTTAATTCTTAAAGAAACCAGTGCTGAGTTGTTTGAAGAATATATTGAATTATTAAGACCAGGCGGTAATGCCTATACAACAAGAAGATATGCAGCATGTATAAGAGACCTAGATTATTATCTGAGATATGCCACTTATAGTATGTTAGCTGATGATCCGTCAGTCTTAGATGAAAGAGTGTTAAATGGTCTTAAAGAAACCTATAATTCTTTAGGTGTGCCTATTGCGCCTACTATTAGAGCACTTAATATAATGAAAAAAATCGTACAAAAACAAGTAAGTCAAGAAGCTCAAAATATAGTTAACTTACCTTTTGATCATATGATTAATTCTCTAAGTTATTAATTATTTATATATTTATGCAATTAATTATTGTAAATACATTATTAGGAATTTTTTCTTCTAACTTATTATGTACAATATATCCTCAGACGGGTGATTGGAGTCTATGTCTTACATCCTTTATTATAGCTTTTTATGAACTTATAGCTTATATAAGCTATAAGCGATTGATAAAAAAAACACATACAAATATTATAAACTCTGTAAATGGTTTTAAAATTGGATTAATTTACGGTTTTTATTTAGATGCCTTTAAGTTGGGAAGCTAAAAAAAGAACAAAGTAAATATTTACTTTGTTCTTTTTTTAGCTTCCCAACTTAAAGGCATCTAAATAAAAATATTAATATTAGCGAGTGACTAGTCCAGGATATCTATTAAATTTAGGAGTAATATTTAAATCATAAACCATATTTAAAAATAAAACAGGATCTCCTGCTCTAGGTCTTTGTTCTTGAGGACGAAATCTGCGGATAGCTCCTTGCCAAATAAATTGAGGTTTAACTAATTTATCTCTGAATTCCATTCCGTATCTTGGAGTTTTTAGATTAAATGGAGTTTCCCCATTAACACGTTGAAAAATTATTCTTCTTCTTTGATAAGGAACTATATTATCACCGAAATTTTCTAGATATTCTTGACTATTAACTAAGCAATCAATAAAACCTATTATACCTTTATTACATATAACAATTGACCAAGCGATTTTTTCTTTTTCATTATATATATCTCGTCCAAGAATTCTCTGAACACATAATTCAACAAAACGATAATTATTATTTACGTCATAATTTAATTTTCTAAACGAATCTGATGTAGCCAACCCTCTAATAAATTCTCTTACTTTAATTTGATTGAAACGTAATTGAGATTCTAGAAATCTTTGTCTTGTGAACTTTAAAATTTGATGTTCACTAAATATTTGACGGTAGGCTGACCAAATTAATTCATCCATCTCTGAAGCACTTGGCAGAGTATCAGTTGTATAAATTTTAGATTGTTCTTCGTTTGATAAAATTTCAAAACTTTCTACACGTTGATTTTGGGTTGATAGAGGATAATATAAAAGAGGAATAGACATAAAACAATCTCCGATATATTTTATTAGCTTTATTAAGAAAAATATATATCATAAACTAATATTTAATATTATAAATTTAGTTTATATTTTGAATTATATTAGTAATAAATTTTAACTAATTATTTTATTAATTGCTATTTATTCAATGAATAAAAACTATAATTCTTATCTTGGACTTAGTTTAGAACAAGAATTTAAACTTAAATTGTATTCACAAATAGTAGATAATTTAAATGAAAAGCAAAAGAAACGATTACTATTAGAAATTTTAAAATATATGTTATTAAATGATAATATATTAAAATATTTAATAAAATATACTAATTTAAAATAAATATGTTAGCTTTAACTATGAATCTAAATTATCAAATCGATAACTATTGTTTAAATATAAGTTTTTTATCTTTATTTATAAGCATGATCTGTTATTGGTTAATCATAGCTTTTCCTAAGAAAACATTTTTTCTAAAATTTGCTCATTTTGAGGTAAGTTTAGCAAATATTTTATTGGTTTACTTATTAGCGTATCGCTGGTTAAAATATTCATATTTCCCATTAAGTAACTTATATGAATCATTACTTTTTTTAAGTTGGAGTTTAACTACTATACAATTAATATTAGAATTTAAATTTAAACACAAGCTTATAGGGGCCATAGCTAGTCCTGTAGGGACTTTAACTTTAGCTTTTTCTAGCTTCTTATTACCAAAATATATGCAAGAAGTCTCTCCATTAATACCAGCTTTAAAATCCAATTGGTTACTTATGCATGTAAGTGTGATATTAATCAGTTATGCTATGTTACTAATAGGGTCACTCTTGTCAATTTTGTTTCTTCTTTTATCTCGTAATACTAAATTAAACTACACGAAAAATAATAATTTAACTACAACCTATAATGATACATTAATTTTAAAAAATGAAGATAAACTAAATTTATTAACTACTATTGACAATTTAAGTTACAGAATTATTGGTTTAGGCTTTCCTTTTCTAACAATAGGTATTATCTCTGGCGCAGTATGGGCAAATGAAGCATGGGGGTCATATTGGAGCTGGGATCCTAAAGAAACTTGGGCTCTAATTACATGGATTATTTTTGCTATATATTTACATACAAGAATCAATAAATCATGGCAAGGAGAAAAATCTGCTGTAGTAGCAGGTTTAGGATTTGTAGTAGTTTGGATATGCTATTTAGGAGTAAATTTTTTAGGTAAAGGTTTGCATAGTTATGGTTGGTTTTTATGATTTTTTTATATAATGAATAAGAATACAGATAATATATATCTTATATATTGGATAAATATATGTTAATATCAGCATCAACTAGTATAATATTTATTGTTGTTAATACAATATGTATAATTTTAGGCAAATATAGTATTCAGAATAAAAAAAATCAAGTATCTTTAATTGCTAATATCAATTTAGCTGAATTATTAGCGAGCATGAGTTTAGGACATATTATTAGTTCAGCAACTGTAATAGGACTGAAATCCTTAAATATAATTTAATAAATACTATAAATGTGAATGTATGAATAACAAATAAAGAGATAGATTGATAGATTAAGTAACAATCGGTACTTACCGATTGTTAACTTAATCTATCAATCTATCTCTTTATTTGTTATTCATAGAAAACACCAATTTTTCTAAATTTATTAGAACGCCGATCTTTTCTTTCATTATCAGAGAAACTTTCTAATTCTTTAATTTTATTTATTAAAATTTCTTTAAGCTTTTTTATAGTGAAAAGAGGATTAATTTGAGAACCACCGATAGGTTCTTCTATTATTTCATCAATAATACCAAGAATTTTTAAGTCTTCTGCAGTTATTTTCAAACATTCTGAAGCCTCTACATATCTAGAACGATCTTTCCACAATATAGCTGAACAAGCTTCTGGAGAAGCTACGGAATATATACTATACTCAAACATAATTAAATAATCTGCAATACTAATTGCTAAAGCTCCACCAGAACCACCTTCTCCTATAATCGTACTAATAATAGGTACATTTAAATTAAACATTTCTCTTAAGTTAACAGCAATAGCTTCACTTTGGCCAAAATGTTCAGCATCTAATCCAGCCCATGCACCTGCAGTATCAATAAAAGTTAATATCGGCAAATTAAATTGATTAGCATGTTGCATTAAACGTAAAGCCTTGCGATAGCCACCCGGATACGCCATTCCAAAATGCCTTTTCATTTTGCTAATTGGAGTTTTGCCGCGTTCATGAGCAATTAATACTACAGATCTGCCACCTATTCTACCTATTCCCGCAACTAATCCTCTATCATTAAAACCTTTTCTATCCCCAAATAGTTCTATCCATTCTTCTGTAATAAGTTTAATTATATCAAGGCCGCTAGGCCTGCCTTGTTGTCTAATTATATTTAATTTATTAATAGGCTTCAAGTTTTTGTATTTTGTTTTTCTGATTTCTTGTAATTTCTTAATCAAACTAAGAGATTGATTTTTAAAATTTGAAGAGTTATTTTCAGCTAAGTATTTTATAATGACATAATAAGCTCGTTTTATATTTTTTTCCAAATCTAAAATAGGTTGCTCAAAATTGAAACTTTTTCTTAAATCATAATTATCGACTGGTAATAAATTATTTATTTCGTCAATTAATAATTGTTTATTCATAGAATTTAAAAACTAATTTCAAATAAAAATCTTATTTATTTAATACTTTATTTTTATTCTTTATAACAACTAATAATGATAATTTAAGATTATTTATTAAGTTGTCAAGATCAGATTTATGCTTAACATTATTTAATAGGCTTCCAACTCCAATGCCAGAGGCTCCGAAATAAGTTGCCAAAGGGGCTGTAAACATAGATATTCCAGACGAACAAATTATTGGTATATTAACTAATTTAGATATTTTTTCAGTAGAAATCAAAGTAGGCAAAGCTAATTTTACATAATCTAATAAATATCGAGATTTGATTTTATATTTACCTTCTGTTTGTAAAAAATCTATATCATAATCCTGTAATTTGATAGCTAATTTTATTTGTTCCTTAAGCTCTAGATAAGATGGAATTGTTACAGTTAGTGGTATATTAGGCATTTTAGATCTTATTTTGTTAGTTAAATATATTATATGATCTGCATTTACTATAAGTCCTCTTTCATAAAACGATTCATAATTACCAAGCTCAATTAGGTCTACCCCAGCTTCTACAGATTTATATAACTCTTCTGGAAGAATTGAAGATGCACAGATCGGTAGATCTGTTATCTTTTTTATTGCTTTAATTAAATAGGGATCAGATGATATATCTATATAAGTTACACCATTTTTATTTGCAGCTATACAAATATTATATATTTTATTTAAATTAAAATTATTTAAACCTGTTATAAGTTTTAAAATTTTTTTTTTTTCTAAATCCTGTTTAATTCTATTTGGAATTGTTGTTTTGCAATTAATCATATCTGTACCTGTTATTTATCCTTATTTTAGTTAATCGTAATATAAGATGAAAAAAGAAATGAGGATAAATTTATTTATCCTCATTTCTTTTTTCATCTTTAATATGCTAAGCCCATACTACGAGAAGTTTCAGCTCCTAAATAGACACGAATACTTAAAAAATCAGTAGGACATGCTGTCTCGCAACGTTTACAGCCCACACAGTCTTCGGTTCTAGGAGCTGACGCTATTTGTAATGCTTTACAACCATCCCAAGGAACCATTTCTAAAACATCACAAGGACATGCTCTTACACATTGTGTACACCCAATACAAGTATCATAAATTTTTACATTATGTGCCATATTATTATCTCCTCGATCTTACTGATATATAAAATAAGAAAAATATAAAAAACAATATTATATTATATATAATAATATTGTTTTTTATATTTTTCTTATTTTATAATAACTTGCTTATCAAAAATCAAAGTATCCACATTTGGATTAGTCTGAGGTGTATCTGCTTCAGATGGAGGAACTACTTGCCAAAAATAGGTTAATAAATTAGACCAGTTTTCTAGTATTTCTTTTGCTTTTAAACTTCCAGTTTTAACTAAATGTTGTTCTAATAAACTTTTTAATTGTATTTCTCCTGATTTAGTTATTACTTTTTGTATCTTAACTATTTCAGAATTTAAATAATCAATAAAATTATTATCTTTATCAAAAACATAAGCAAGTCCACCAGTCATGCCCGCAGCAAAATTACGTCCAGTTTTCCCTAAAACTACAACCACACCACCAGTCATATATTCACAACAATGATCGCCAACACCTTCTACTACTGCTTGCGCTTGTGAATTTCTAACAGCAAAACGTTCTCCTGCCTGACCTTTTACAAATAAAAGCCCTCCAGTAGCACCATATAAACATGTATTACCAATAATAACATTATTAGTCTGAAAATTTGATTTATAAAATTGATTATTAGGAATAATAATTATTTCTCCGCCATTCATACCCTTACCTACATAGTCATTAGCTTCTCCGATTAAGCGTAAGTTTAAGCCACCTATATTGAACAAACCAAAACTTTGACCTGCACTTCCATAAAAGTGTAAATTAATTTTTCCTTTAAAATCATTATTGCCATAATCTTTAGCAATATAACCTGATAAACGTCCACCAACAGAACGATTGATATTCGATATTTTTAAATGTTTATCTATATTTAGTTGAGATTTAATTGTTTCTTCTATATCAGAACTTTTTATTAAAATATCATCTAATACAGGACCATTGCTATGAACATCTTCATGTTTTAACCAACTTCTATCATTAATAAATTCTCTTGGCAAATTCAATAAATCATATAAATTTAAGTTAATTGTTTTACTTAATGTATTTATATAATTTGTGGAGAGCAAATTATATCTTCCAATAATATCTTTTAATGATTTGTAACCCATATAAGCAAGTATACTTCTAACCTCTTCTGCTACGAACATGCAGAAATTTACTAAACTTTCAGGTACGCCTGGATATCTAGCTCTAAGATCTTCTCTTTGGCTTGCTACTCCTACTGGGCAATTATTCGTATGACAAATTCTTGCCATAATACAGCCTGTGGCAATCATTGCAACTGTTCCAAATCCATATTCTTCTGCTCCCATTAAACTTGCTATAACAATATCAAGGCCCGTTTTAAGACCACCATCTACTCTTAATAATACTCTATTTCTTAGATTGTTTGATAATAAAGTTTTATGAACTTCAGTTAAACCGAGTTCCCATGGAACTCCAGCGTGCTTTATAGAACTCAAAGGTGATGCTCCAGTCCCTCCATCGTGCCCTGAAATTTGAATAATATCTGCGTTCGCTTTTGCAACTCCAGCAGCAATAGTACCAATACCTACCGATGCAACTAATTTAACAGATACTTTAGCTTTAGGATTTATCTGATGTAAATCAAATATAAGTTGAGATAAATCTTCAATTGAATAAATATCATGATGAGGTGGAGGAGAAATTAATGGTACACCAGGCTTACAGGCTCTTAACTTAGCAATATAAGGACTTACTTTTTTGCCTGGAAGTTGCCCTCCTTCACCAGGTTTAGCTCCTTGTGCTATTTTAATTTCTAATTGTTTAGCATTTATTAGATATTCTGGAGTTACTCCAAATCTGCCTGAGGCAATTTGTTTAATCGCTGAATTTGCTGTATCACCATTTGATAAACCTTTCAAATGTGGTAATAAAGGAGAATGCCCTGTTAAATCAACATCTGATAAAATTTTGAAACGTATAGGATCCTCTCCTCCTTCACCAGAATTAGATTTCCCGCCTAGTCTATTCATTCCAATAGCTAATGTTTCATGAGCCTCTCTAGATAATGCGCCCAAGGACATCCCACCAGTACAAAATCTTTTAACAATTGAACTTGCAGATTCAACTTGCTCAATACTAATTGGTGGATTATCTGATTTTATTTGTAATAAATCTCTTAAGTTTGTTGGAGGGCGATTATATAATATATTTTTATATCCTTCATAAAATTCGGTTTTATATGTTCTTACTGCTTTATGTAAAGCTTTAGCCATATCTGGATTATTCAAATGATATTCACAACCAGGTCTATATTGTACAAATCCATAATTGTTAAGTTTATTTTTATTTAAATTTTTAAATGCTAAATCATGAAATAGTATAATTTCATTAGCTAATTCTTTAAATGATAAACCACCTATACGAGAAGTGGAACCAGTAAATGCTAAATTAACTATTTCTGCACCTAAACCTAAAATCTCAAAAATTTGTGCACCTTGATAACTTGATAACAACGAAATTCCCATTTTCGACAGTATTTTTAATAATCCATTTTCAACTGCCTTTTTGTAATTATCCTGAGCTTCTTTTGTTGTGCATACTGGTATTTTATTTTTCTGCATAAGACTTTGTGTTTTAGGGTTTTTCCACCAATGTCTTACTGTTTCTAATACTAAATAAGGACAAATTAAACTAGCACCATAACTAATTAAACAAGCAAAATGGTGAGTACTCCATGCTTGAGCTGTTTCTACTATAAGTGATGATTTATGTCTTATTTTTTTTCTAATTAGATGGTGATGTATTGCTGAGGTTATTAATAATGGTGGTATATAAGTATAGTCCTCCGATAAAACTGCAAATTTATCACTAAGTATTAAGATTTCTATTCCTGATCTTACTAACAATTCGGCCTCTTGACAAAGTTTTAATATTGTTGATTTTAGCTCCGTGGAACCTTGTTTTATATTGAAAAAAACATTAATAGTTGCAGTTTTTAATTCACTTTGCTTTATTCTTTCTAATTCTCTTTCATTGATAATTGGTGAATTAAAATAAATAATTTTACCTTCTATTGAAGAGTTAAATAATTTTTCCTTATTTCCTATATAGGTGTCAAGAGACATAACTAAACTTTCTCGTAATGGATCGATCGCTGGATTAGTTACTTGTGCAAAACGTTGTTTAAAATAATTATATAATATATGAGGTTTACCTGATAAAATTGCTAAAGGAATATCATCTCCCATGCAAAAAGTTGGTTCTTTACCTTGGCTTGCCATATGTTCTATAGTTAATTCTACATCCTCTGATGTATATCCAAATAAAGTTTGCCATTGTAATAACTCATTTTCAGATTTAATTGTTTCTTCTAAAAAATCTCTACTATCAAATAATACCCTATGTAAATTTAGTAGATAATTATAATTTTTTTTCTTTGCAACTTGTTGTTTTAATTCTAAATTTTCTAATATTATTTTGTTTTCTAGATCTAAAGCTAAAATTTGACCTGGACCTATACGACCTTTTTTTATTATATTAGACTGATCAATATTAATAACTCCACTTTCCGATGCTACTATAATGTGATTATCTTTTGTAATACAAAACCTAGCAGGTCTTAAACCATTTCTATCTAAACTTGCACCTATAATTTTACCATCACTAAATATGACTAATGCTGGTCCATCCCAAGCTTCTTGATGTATACTATTATATTCATAAAATTTAATTATATCTGTATAAGAATTAATTTCTGGATTATTTTTATAAGCTTCAGGAATTAAAGTAAGTGAAACTTCATGAATAGGCAAATTAGCATGTAGGAGAACTTCAAAAGCACTATCTAAATTAGCAGAATCACTACTTTCAGGATTACATATTGGTTTAATATGATTAATATCTTTAGTATTATATATGCTAGACAATAATTCCTCTCTAGTTTTCATCCAATTTAAATTACCTAGTAATGTATTAATTTCACCATTATGTGCTATTAATCTCATAGGTTGAGCAAGTGCCCATTTAGGCATTGTATTTGTGCTAAATCTTCTATGATAAATAGCAAATGGACTTTCATAGTCGATATGTAATAAATCTTGATAAAATTGTCCTAGAACAGCAGATTTAACCATTCCTTTATAAATAATAATTTTCGAAGACAAAGAACAAATATAAAATTCTTTTAACCATTTTACATAACTTTTAGATATTAGTTTTTCAATACGTTTTCTAGTTATATATAATTTGTGTTCCAAATTATCTTTAGAAGATAATTTAGATTTGATAAAGAACTGTAAAATAGTAGGCCTATTTTTATAAGCTTCTGAACCTAAAACTTCATTATTAGTAGGAACTTCTCTCCATTTAATCATTTGTAATGATTCTTCTCTAAGAATCCATTCTATAAAATTTTTAGCTTCTTTAACTTCTATTCTATTAGAAGGCAAGAAACACATTCCAATACCAATATTTTCTTCTGAGTTACCAATATATGGTTTAAAAAGTTTCCAAGGTATAGATGTCATTAGACCAGCTCCATCGCCCGAACTTTTATCTGCACTACATGCACCTCTATGCTCCATAAAAATTAAGGCTTCGATAGCCTGCATTATTAGTTTATGGCTAGCAATATTATCTCTACTTGCAATAAAGCCAACACCACAAGCATCTTTTTCTTTGATTAACCATGGTTGGCCTTCAGAATAATTCTATTTATTTGCTTATTATTAGGTATATAGAACATGTCAATTTTTTCTCATATTTTGTTATTATACCAACTCTTTTTATTATATTGTAATAATAATTATGATTATAAAAAGTAATAATAAACAATATAATTCAGAATACATATTATATAAAACTGAAACTTTAATTAAAACAAAATATAATATATATTACACTACAATCGAAATTAGTAATAAAGCCAAGCAGTATGGCAATGGGACTAGTATAGAAAATTTATATTTAAAACCTATTTTAAGAGCAATATTAGAAATGAATCAATAAGAAATATTAAATTTTAATTAATAAATTTGGTATATGATAATTACAAATTCATAAGTCGTAATTAGAATAAAATTTTTTAGTTTTATAATTTACTAGTATAAAATGTTTTATGATGTAAAACATTATTTAATAAATCATAAAATAATATATTTTAATTTGCTTTATTCATAAGGAGTTTCTGATTATGTTAGATGCATTTGCAAAAGTAGTTGCTCAAGCTGATGCAAGGGGAGAATTTTTAAGCAATACTCAACTTGATGCTTTGTCAAAAATGGTATCTGAAGGCAATAAAAGACTTGATGTAGTCAATAGAATTACTTCTAATGCTTCAGCAATTGTTACCAATGCGGCTAGAGCTTTATTCTCAGAACAACCTCAGCTAATTCAACCAGGTGGTAATGCCTATACTAATAGACGTATGGCTGCATGTCTAAGAGATATGGAAATTATTTTACGTTATGTAAGTTATGCAATTATTGCTGGTGATTCAAGTGTATTAGATGACCGTTGCTTAAATGGCTTACGTGAAACTTATCAAGCTTTAGGTGTACCAGGTGCTTCAGTCGCAGTAGGTGTTGAAAAAATGAAAGATTCTGCTATTGCAATTGCCAATGATCCTAGCGGTATAACAACTGGTGACTGTAGCGCACTTATGGCAGAAGTCGGAACATATTTTGATCGCGCTGCTACTGCAGTCCAATAAGTTATAATTATAGCTTATTTTTCTAAAAATACAAATAAATAAATTTATATCTTAATTTAAGATAAATCAGAATAATCATATAATTTTGTAAAAAAGGTAGGAATCTAGCAATGAAAACTCCAATTACAGAAGCAATAGCAGCTGCCGATAATCAAGGTCGTTTTTTGAGCAATACTGAATTACAAGCAGTAAATGGTAGATATCAAAGAGCTGCTGCAAGTTTAGAAGCTGCTCGCTCATTAACAAGCAATGCACAAAGATTAATTAATGGAGCAGCTCAAGCTGTTTATAGTAAATTTCCATATACATCACAAATGCCTGGCCCTCAATATGCATCAAGTGCAGTTGGAAAAGCTAAATGTGCTAGAGACATAGGTTATTATCTACGTATGGTAACTTATTGTTTAGTAGTTGGTGGAACTGGCCCAATGGATGAATATTTAATTGCAGGTTTAGAGGAAATAAACCGTACTTTTGATTTATCTCCTAGTTGGTATGTAGAAGCTTTAAATTATGTTAAATCCAATCATGGACTATCTGGTCAAGCAGCAAATGAAGCTAACACTTATATAGATTATGCTATTAATGCATTAAGCTAATTAATCATAAAAAAAGATGAGAGAATAACAAATAAATTATTAGATATAATATAATTTAATTATATCTAATAATTTATTTGTTATTCTCTCATCTTTTTTTATGATTAATATTAATAAGTTTTTATCTCAAATTTTTAATCAAGAACACTTAATCGAATACAGACCAACAGTAGATAAAATTAATTCATTAAGATCTGAATTAAGTCAACTAAAAGACGAAGAACTAAAAAAAAAATCACAATATCTTCAAGAACAAGTTGATAAAGGAATTTCATTAGAAGTAATCTTGCCAGAAGCTTTTGCTCTAATAAGAGAAGTTTCAAAAAGAGTAATTGGTCTAGAACATTTTGATGTTCAATTAATGGGAGGTATAGCCTTACATAAAGGCAAAATTGCTGAAATGAAAACTGGAGAAGGGAAAACTTTAGTAGCAACTTTACCTGCATATTTAAATTCGCTTTTAAGAAAAGGAGTCCATATTGTTACTGTCAACGATTATTTAGCTAAACGCGATTCAGAATGGGTTGGACAAATTTATAGATTTTTAGGATTGAAAGTTGGCTTAATACAAAATTTTATGACTAAGGATGAAAGAAAAAAAAACTATTTGGCAGACATTACTTATGTGACTAATAGTGAATTAGGATTTGACTATTTAAGAGATAATTTAGTAAAATCTGTTGATGAAATTGTTCAAAGAGAATTTTATTATGCAATTATTGATGAAGTAGATTCCATTTTAATAGATGAAGCAAGAACACCCTTAATTATTTCTGGACAATCAAATATAATAGATGAAAAATATAAAATATCTTGTGAAATAGTAAAAGAGTTGCAAAAAGGTCATCACTATGAAATAGATTATAAATATAGAAATATTATACTAAAAGATAAGGGCATTGTAAAATGTGAAAAACTTTTAAATATTAATGATTTGTATGATATTAAAGATCCTTGGGCTCCCTATATTTTAAATGCTTTACGGGCTAAAGAGCTATTTCAAAAAAATGTTCATTATATTATTAATAATAATCAAATTATTATAGTCGATGAATTTACAGGTAGAATTATGCCTGGACGAAGATGGGCAGATGGTTTACATCAATCTATCGAAGCAAAAGAAAATTTAGAAATTCAGAAAGAAACTCAAACTTTAGCATCTATTACATATCAAAATTTATTTTTGTTATATCCTAAGCTCTCTGGTATGACTGGTACTGCTAAAACAGAAGAAGCCGAATTTAACAAAATTTATAATCTTGAAGTAGTAGTTATTCCAACAAACAAACCAATGATACGGAAAGATTTATCTGATGTAATTTATAAAACTGAATATTATAAATGGAATGCAGTTTTATCAGAATGTAAAGAAAATTACAGTAAAGGAAGGCCAGTTCTAGTTGGTACAACAAGTGTAGAGAAATCAGAGCTAATATCAAATTTGTTAAAAACTTCTGAGATTCCACATCAAGTTTTAAATGCAAAGCCTGAAAATGCTGAAAGAGAAGCTGAAATTATTGCTCAGGCTGGAAGAAAATATTCAATTACTATTGCTACTAATATGGCTGGTAGAGGGACTGATATTATTTTAGGAGGTAATATTGATTATTTAGCAAAATCTAATTTACAATTTATTTACAAATCACTAATTCAAAAAAATAATAATGATATTAATTGTAATTGCATATATGATGCATTAATAAAAACCTTTGATATAAATTTATCTTACCAAACACAAAAAGTACTAAAAAATTTTATCATAAATTTAAAACAATATTTGAATAATATTAATATAAATGAAATAGATTTTGAAGAAAAATTAATTCTTGCTTCTAAAAACTTTAATCAATCAGATTATCTATGTCTAGAAATAAAAAAGGCCTATCAATCTTTAATATCAGAATACAAAATTAAGTTTGTAAAAGAACATGATGAAATTATTCGTTTAGGTGGGTTATATATTATAGGTACTGAACGTCATGAATCTAGAAGAATTGATAATCAATTACGTGGTCGGGCAGGTAGACAAGGTGATCCAGGCTCATCAAGATTCTTTTTATCTTTAGAGGATTCGCTATTGAAGACTTTTGGTAGTGATCGTCTTATTTCATTAATGAACACTTTAAAACTAGAGGATAGTATTCCGATTGAATCATCTTTTATTAATCAAAGTTTAGAATCAGCACAAAAAAAAGTAGAATCTTTTTATTTTAATTCCCGTAAACAATTGTTTGAGTATGATAAGGTGTTAAATACTCAAAGACAAATTATATATTCAGAAAGAAAAAAAATTTTATTATCTGATGATAATTTGTTGAAAAAAATAGCCTTAGAATTTATATTAAGCTCCATAGATGATTGTCTAGCTTCACATTTAGCAAATGATTATAATAAAAAATTAAATTATCAAAATAAAGATAATATTGTTATGTTATTTGAAGATTTATTATCTTTATCTAATAAATTTAGCAATCATTTAATCAGAAATATAGAGGTAAATGGAGTAAGGTATTTTTTTCATGAGCAAAGTCTTGTAAATTATGAATTAAAAAGTAGTTTAATAAATAAGTTAGAGATGGGATTAATGAGTGATATTGAGCGTTATTTTTTATTAGAACAAATAGATAGCGAATGGAAAGAACATTTAAAACAGATCGCAAACTTACAGGAAACTATCGGCTGGAGAAGCTATGGTCAAAAAGATCCTTTAATTGAATATAAAAAAGAAAGCTTTAATTTATTTGTTAAACTTATTATTCAGATTCGTCATAATTTTACAGTATCTATTTTCAGATTTATACCACTTTTAAAAGATTATGAAGCAATAAAACACATTTAGAATAGCCAAAGAAGGGATTTGAACCCATGACAACTCAATTACGAATTGAGTACTCTACCAGCTGAGCTACTTTGGCAATATATAAGTAAATTAGGTTGGAATAATTATGTAGAAACTAGTATTTAGTAGTTTCTACATAATTATTCCAACCTAATTTACTTAGGGTATTATTGCGTCTTAAAGGTCTTGTAACTAATTCTAAAATATCTCTACAATTGGCAAATCCATGAATTTGAGCAAAAGTAAATTCTACAGACCATTTAGTATTAATTCCTCTGGCTTCTAGCGGATTAGCATGAGCCATGCCAGTGATAACTATATCAGGTTGTAAGTCATAAATTCTTTCCAGTTGATTTTGGTTATCAGGTTTTTCAACAATTTTAGGATATATAACATTCATTTCCTTACATGTTTTTTCTAATAAATTAAGCTCTGCATTTTGATATCTTTTATCCATATACGGGATACCAATTTCATAAACAATCATTCCACAACGAATTAAAAATCTAGCAAGAGAAATTTCTAATAAATTATCTCCCATAAAAAACACTGATTTTCCTCTTAAAATTTCAATATAGTCACTTAAGCTTTCCCAAATCTGTTTTTCCCTATCTTCTAAGCCTATGGGTTCTATATTAAAAACAGAACAAATTTTTTCAATCCAAGCTCTAGTACCATCTGGTCCAATAGGAAATGGCGCGGAAATTAGTTTTGCCTTTCTACGGCGCATTAAAGTTGTTGCTGTTCGACTTAAAAAAGGATTGATACCACAAACATATGTTCCTTCTTCAATGGCTGGCAATTGTTTATATTCTTTAGGTGGAAGCCAGCCAGAAACATTAATTCCTTGTTTTTCTAGCTCTAAGGTTAATTGATTTGCAACTGAATCAGGAATCGATCCAAATAAAAGTAAGGAATTATTAACTTTGTTAATTATTGATTCGTTTTTTTTCGGACATTTTTGAGCCATCGCAGCTAAGACGGTATCTTCGCCTTGAGTAAAGGCATAGTCCAGTCCATTAGCTCTTGCAACAACTATGGGAGTTTTTATTTCTGCTTCTATTTGGGGAGCAATACCTTCCAAATCCATTTTTATTATTTCTGTTGTACATGTACCAATCCAGAAAATTACACTTGGATTTCGGTCTTTTTTTATTTGTAAACATAAACGTTTTAATTCATTATAATCATTCAATTGAGCAGAAATATCTCCTTCTTCAAGTTCTGCCATTGCATAACGTGGTTCTGCAAAAATCATCACCCCCATTGCATTTTGTAGAAAATAGCCACATGTTTTGGTTCCTATAACTAAAAAAAAACTATCTTGAATCTTTTGATATAACCAAGAGACACAACTAATAGGACAAAATGTATGATAATTCGCAGTCTCACATTCAAAAACTAAAGTTTCATTATTTTTAGTTTGTAGTGTCATTATAATATTTCCTTAATTTTTCAATATAAAAATTTTATTAACTAATCAATAGTTTTTCTGCTTCTTTATTATTTGGAACTGAAGAAAGATTTGGACTTAGATAAAAATCAGATAGTAATGTAAAAATTTCTCTATCATTAGCTTCTTTAGGAACAAGCCCTTCAGGCAAAGAAATTAACTGATCTGCAATATTTAAGTAATAATTACATATATATTTCAGTGAACTGTCTTCTTCTGCCATTTCAAATAAAGTTTTTCCTTTAACACGTGAAACTCTAATATCCTCTATCAATGGTAGAACTTCTAGTATAGGCATAGGAATAGATTTAACATATTGTTCAATTAAATCTCTTTTTAATGTACGATTACCAATTAGACCAGCTAATCTCAAATTATGTGTTCTGGCTTTTTCTCTAATAGAGGCTGCAATTCGATTAGCTGCAAATAGAGAATCAAACCCATTATCTGTAACTATTATACAATAGTCTGCATAATTAAGTGGTGCAGCGAATCCTCCACAAACAACATCTCCAAGTACATCAAATAAAATAATATCATATTCATCAAATGCATTTAGTTCTTTTAATAATTTAACTGTTTCTCCTACTACATACCCACCGCAACCAGCTCCTGCTGGAGGACCACCTGCTTCTACACAATCGACTCCGCCATAGCCCCTATAAATTACATCTTCTGGCCATACATCTTCATAGTGATAATCTTTCTCTTGTAGAGTATCAATTATAGTAGGAATTAAAAAACCAGTTAAGGTAAAGGTACTATCATGTTTAGGATCACAACCAATTTGTAACACTTTTTTTCCTCTTTTGGCTAAAGCAACTGAAATATTACAACTTGTTGTTGATTTACCAATTCCACCTTTGCCATATACAGCTATTTTCATTTTGATCTCCTATATTTTTTATTTTACTATTATAATAAAATTTTATCGTGTTAATAATTAAAAAGTTTTGTGTATTTTTAGTTTTATTTGTTATTGTATTTCATGATAACATCTGTGAGCATATAAAAGTTAGGCTTATTTAAAATAACATATAATGATTGAGATTCAATTAATATCTTAGCTATCATAATATTAGTTAAGATTTGATATTCATTTGTGTATTGAATGTCCTTATTGTTCATAAAATTTTGACATAATATAACATCAGATTTCCAGGCGAATTCTATAATTGCCCTTGAATAGATAATAGAAGGTAGAATTGTGATTTTTTTACCTTCTGTTATATATTCACATAAATTTTTACCTTTAATAATTTTTCCATCTTTTGATACAATACTAATACCCATTTTTAACTTGCTATAAATAGGTCCTGGCATAATACCTAATTTTTTAGCCTTTTTTATGTTAAATTTACCTGGTTTTTCTGTTTCTATGATTGAATAAGCAATTGAATTATCTGTTAATTCTAGTGAATATATTTGATGAGTACTACTATTATAAATTAGACCATTTTTTATATTAACAAATTCAATATCATTTAGTAGGCTTGTTTTACAAATATAAGTGAATAAACGTAAATATTGTTTTATTCCTGATGGTGCATATACTTGTATTTTTTTTTTCCTTTTATATAATGCAGAAGTAGCTAAAAATCCTAATAGACTAACTAAATTGTTTTCTTTAATTTCCGTTAGAAAAATTTTTGTAATTTGATTAAGTTTCAGTTTATTAATACTGATTTGGTGTTGTAATCCCTCATCATAATCAAATAACCATAATTCATTTGAATTATGGCTAACAAAGAATATTATTGACGTAATAGAATATAAAGAACTGTTAATAGTTAAATTATTTGTCAAATATAAAAATTTTAACATTTATTCTCCTTATGCATGGAAAAGAAGAAAAGCACGAAGAAATAAATAGGCAATGATATTACAGAAATAGAACCCAGTGAAGATTCGAGCATATCCTCCACGTCTTGCCACCAATTACTACCATGATCCATAATAAGCAAAATTA